GGGGGGGGGGGGGGGGGTCCGACGACTTTGTTGAACCCGAGTTCCACTGTATTACTTTGGCTCTGTTCTTATTCCCCCCCCATAATGCTGTCAGACATTTAAAGCAAATCTCTGTTGTAAATCCCACCAGGCTCGTCACAAGAAGCTAAAGGAGAAAGTGTCGCTGATCAAGTCCCACCTCCCTCCTGAGGACATCAACAAGTTCCGTGAGCTGGACTCACAAGGGAGAATGAAGCCTCTCATCGGCAGCATGTCCTTATCGAGTGCAATCAAAATCGCGGCAGCCTCCCGTCGTCTGAATCTCAACAGTGGGCGTGTCTCTACGAGCAGACGAGAAATGACGCAAAGTACTTTGCCACTGCCTACGATAACGGTTCAAGACGAAAGCAGTCCTCGGCTACTGAAAAGCACATCAACGGTCTCCAACAACACTAAACCACCGGCACGCCCAATTCTCCGACGAAGCAATTCCGTTACTGGAGTCTTCATTGACGCTCCCACCAAATCTACTCAACAAACGCGACCAGAGTCCGCCTTCGTGGCAACCACCACTGACCTGGGTTCTTCAAACAACAACAACGATGGGGGCAGGCAGAGGAGGCAAGGGATCCAAGAAAATGTGGAATTTTCTGCAGTAGCTGAAGCAAACAGGCCTTTGCAGGATAACAACGAACCTAAAAGTATTGCAAAGGATAATTTGTCCCCACGAGGCAGTTTAGTTGAGAAACAGCAAGACACTTCGTCGACTCGGCTGGGCTCCGCGCGTCCAAGAAGTCACTCTTTATTCTCCAGCCACACTGCAGCGGAAAGAGAAGCCCGCGATGAGAGCTTGAGTCCAGGTCGAGATAATAATACCAGGAGGATGTCTCACATTTCAGTCAACTCCATAGACAGGTGGGTCACCGACAATATTCAGAGTGCATTTGAATTTAGATGACTTTCAAAATGTACCTTATCCATTGTTTTTTCGCCCCTCTTAATTAAAATGTAGCCATTTAAGTTTATCTGATCGCTCACTTCCACCCACTCTCTTTTTTTTCTGTCTCATGTTTTTCATGATGGAAATCCCAGAAGCCACCCTCCTTCCTCACAAATAGTAGATGGCTCATAAGAATTCAAATAAAATGATATATGGGTATATATTCCCTATTATAGCAGGCCGTAAAATGTGTATGTGCGCTATATATGCATTTTATTACTATTATAGAAATCTATTAATTATTATTAT